ACCGGTCTCTATATGGGATCCGAACCCTCAGTGGGAGCGCCGCCACGCTCCCAAGTGCCGCCCTCTACCGAGTGCGCCACTGGGCTGGCCCTTCAATAAAATATTTTATTTAATCCAGTTTATCCAAAATATCATTTCAGCATATGATAGTATGTAAAACTTATTGAGATAGTTTATATTCTGTTTTTTGTTCTAAGTCTTTTATATCTGATGTGTATTATATAGTTCCAGAGTGTATTTATTTGGACTGATCATATTTAAAGGACTCAGTAACCATGTGTGCCTAGTGGCTACTGTACTGGACAGTCCATATAGAGAAATGTATAAGACAGAATCTATTAGGAATACATTATTGAAAGGAAAGAAGGAGAGGCAGATTTGCCTTGCAGTTTTATTTGGGTTAATATTAAAATATTTGATCTTATCCCACATTAGCTAGCCATATAAGAAAGTTACTTAGAACTGTATTGAGGGAAGAGAAGTCCTTTTAGAATTGTAAGCTTGCCATAGCTAATCTGCATATTAATAAAGAACAAATGTGGATCATATGCCTACTATGTTACAATCACTTTTGAGAGTAAATACCAGATCCTTATTTCTTATAGAGTAAAGCAGGTACTATGGGTTTTCAATAAATTTTTATTAATATCTTTTCTTTTTTGTGTTTAGATACATTAGAATTGTTTCTGGTTGGCAATGACACTTATCTTACACCTATTCCTTTAAAAAAGAAAGGTATTGCTTGGTGGACAGACAAAAATGTGAAATTCAGAAATCCCCCTGGAGGAGAAAACCTGGAAGAACGATTTAAAGGTAAAACATCATTAATATCCCTTAAAAAAAAACCTCGGAATTCTAATGACATACCTTAAATTTTCTATCTTTAAAATCTTTTAAAAACTCTATGCTTTAAAAAAAAAAAAAAAAAAAAAAAAAAAAATTTCTTTCCTCAATTTCATACCAGGTTAAGTAAATGTCCTAATGTACTAAAATTCTAAAGGACATGTATACTTTAATTATGAATTCAATTTCTCTGGTGTTTTCTTATAAGAATTTCAGCCATAATCTATTAAAACTGTGGCAAAGTTTCATTTAAACAAGCCCCTATTATTTATCTAAATTTATTTTTGTTTCTATGCCACCTTAATTTTACAATGTAATGTTTCTTAGCATTATATCTTTGCATTAAGTAATGTGCCTTTTGTTATATACTCAATAGCCAACTTTTAGTATTCTCTTAATGGAGATAACCAAGTCTTTGTAATTTTCTGTTAAGTTGTTACATGAGGAATTGGTTTCAGTATAGATTTTAAGACTTCTGTAGAATATGAATATTTTTATACCTTTGAAATTAATAAAAACACTCAATTGTGTATTGCATATCTTTATGTTCATAGAGTGAATTTTCAGTGAAACTCCCAGTAGAACTGAATATTTTGTTTTCTCATCCCTCCCTTCCTCCTTTTTAAGGTACTACAAAGCCAGTTAACTGGCTTAAACCTGTATATATGCTGGATTCTGACCTAGATAATAATGGATTCATAAATGAGGATTTTATTGTTTGGATGCGTACTGCAGCATTACCTACTTTTCGTAAGTTATATCGTCTTATAGAGCGGAACAGTGACTTACATCCGACATTACCAGCTGGACGATACTATTTGAATATCACATACAGTATCCTTTTTTGGCTATGTATACAGATTCATAGAACTTGAAAGGAGTCTAGTCCAAACTTATCTCAGTTATGTGGCATTTTGCTTTAGTATCGATTTCTGCATTGTTACAAGAGCATGTGTGTATGTATGAGAATGTATCTTTTAATTTATATCTTCTAGAAATGCCTTCTATTTGTATAAACTTTATACTAAGCTTTCAAGCATATCATTTGGTAAAATTACTTAAAGTGTGTGCCTTGTAGGGCCGGCCCGGTGGTGCACTGGATAAGTGCGCCGCTTGGGAAGCGCGGCGGCGCTCCCGCCCGAGGGTTCGGATCCCACATACAGACCGGTTCCCGCTCACTGGCTGAGTGAGGCACGGGAGCAACACCCAGGGTTGCAATCCCGTTGCCGGTCCCCGGTCCGGTACGGGGACAACACTGAGGGTTGCAATCCGTTGCCGGACACGGAAAAAGACAAAAGACAAAAAAAAAAAAAAAAGTGTGTGCCTTGTTTATTAATAAGCTAGATACTTTTACAGGGGAGATTGTAATTGAGCTTAATGGGAAGGCCAGTAAGTGTATCTAATACTAAATAATACTAATACTAATACTAAATAAGCATTGGTGGTACTGGGCTGTTTTGCACTTGATCTTAGCCAAAAGGCTGAGAAATGATGTGGACTGTTTTAATAAATGTCTTTAGATATTAAAAATCAGCAGATGTGTTAATTCACATGACAATTGTTCGTAATTATTGATCTGTTCATAATATCAAAACATTTTTATTATTAGCTGTATTCCACATTAATAACTTAGGTTCACTTTAATGCTGATAAATATCATTTATTTCGTTCTGACTATATGTCAACACTGTGCTATGCACTTGCCATACATATTTTGTTTAATTTAAGAGGTAACACATCTCCATGTTATAGATGAAGACACAGGAACATAGAGCACTTAAGTAACCTACGCTAGGTTGCACAAGTAATAATTAGAAGAGCTGGGGTTCATAACCAGGCTGTTGACTCCAAAGGGCTTGACCTTGCTATCAGTCACCATCATAGGCTGCATCCCCAACTTACCTCATTCAGGTAGTCAGACCAATCCATATCTGCTAAGATACAAAGGGAAATATTGGGCAATTTATTTTATTCTAAACAAAGTCCTTACATCTTTTAATCTCTAGCTTATTTTTTATATGTATCGTGAATGTAAAGTTTCCCAAATATTAGCATTTTAAGTGTTTGATGATCTTTGCATTTTTTGCTCTTTATAAGCCATAAGTTTACAGTTTTGGTTTTATAATAATTAATTAGCAAATGGTCAAATTAATAGATCCGATTTCAAAATAAGGGTCTTTTTGGATTCTAGTCTCTTGACATTGTATCTGAATACACAACTGAATATGGCTTGATAGTGGTAGACTGAAAGTAACCAAGCTTTTGAAACTAAGCACATATGGGAACAATTTTGGACAGACAGACCCAGTTCAGGTGCTGGTAGAAAGAATATTATCCTGAGGGGATAGCCAAAATAGAGGGCAATTTTATTACAATTAGTATCCAAAAGGTCTAGTAAAGAGTAAGGACAAATACCAACCTGTAGCCTAGAGCACAACAAAGGCAAGTTTGTGGAGCAGTGGGGAATTCTAGTTGACAGACAGTCTGCATCCAGGAAGTCTACAGCAGTGTCCCAAGCACTGAGAGGAGAACTGTCAGGAAGAATGCAGGGAATCTTGTAGATTGACAAGACAGGAATATTCTGGCATCAAGGGTTAATTATCAAAATTGGATATAGAGTGGGAATTAGATATTAAAACTATTTTTTCCTTCTTTTTTGCCAGGAATACTGTGTTGAGACAGAGGCCTTTTTTTTTAGGGTTGGAATACAGAGAGAGAGACTAGCATGGGTAATTTGATACTGCATCCTCCAGAGTGTTATTTTAGTTAGAGCTCTTAAAATTATTCCTGCATCAGGTTAGAATTGATTTAAGAAATGAGTGGAACTGAGCCTGCCATTTTGGGTCATAGGGCCCCATCTGTGGGGATAAAGAGTTGCAGAAGCTAGAGAAACAGATGATGGGACCTACCACTTTATTCAAATGATGCTTTTGAAGAAGTTATAAACTTTTTGCATAGAGACTTAGTTCTGTATTCTTCTCTACCCTAACTCTTGCCAAAATCCTAGAGCTGGTCCATGTAGATTAATTCATCTGATACACTGGTGTCTCATTTCTTAGATTTTCTTAAAAATCCACCCTTCACTTCCACTCTGTTTTAGCTGTCAACTCTCTGCGTCACAGCCTGATTTTTGTCATTGCTCCAAATCAGCTAGTTAAATCTTTAGTATCATGCTTTTTGATTTTGTGCTCAGAGCCCTCTAATAGTCTTGTGACTCTTGGTACACATACTCTTTGAGTTCATAGAGACTTCTAGCCCCTTGATTCTTCCATTTTCTCCTGGTCTGTGTTAACCTCCTCTTCTTCAGTGGGCTTCTTTTTTTTTATGTTTACACAAGATATATATATTTTGCATATAATACATTACATTTCAATTATATGACATATACTCTATGTTAACATAATAGATACATACATTGTATATATATGCATACATACATATAACATTGTATCTTCATACATAACCTCTTAGAGTTATATGATTACACAATGTGGTACTATATTCATAATCATTTACATATATATGCATACATACATATCTCTATATAGATATAGATAAGAATATATATATTAATTTTTTTATTTTAACTTCTCAATATACATTGTAGTTGATTTTCGTGACCCTTTCCCCCCTCCCCCTCCCCCTCTCCCATCCCTCTTTCCCCCCC